GCATCATAGCTATGTACAAAGAGGGAGTTCAAAGGTATTAACCTATATTTCCATAATAAAACTGAACTGAACTGGCCATAATCATTTTAAGAGGTTCTCATATAGGGTTTGCCTACTTATGGGTCAACGACATGTATGGAAGCCCAAGGCGAAGCCGGGCTTCCGCGCTAGTTATCATTAAAATTGGATTCGCTCACCAGACCGCAGGAGAACAATGTATATATAAGTATTAGTATCAATAAATCCCTAAAGAGAATAAGAGCAAAACCATTTTCACAAATTAGTATATAAAAATCGAATGTGCTTGTGAGGCTGGACACATTTTAGTTAGATATGAGGATAAATTCCAAAACGACATGCAACAACTGGAAATACCTTCAAAGGGGTTTTTGCGAATAAAATGCTATGATGAAAACCTGATGTTACTTTTTTTATCAGCTAGTTATTATCATGAAGCGAGATTCCCAATCTTGCTTTTTGTCGTTCTTACACGGTGTAGGCACTACCGCTTCTTTTGAAAGCCGTCGACCTTATGTCGTCCTTCCATACAAAGACAATCGGTCGCATTCTAGACCCTGTTGCTCAACAAGTTAAAGCTTTAATATTTTATTTAAAAATTATATAGGTATCTAAATTAATACTTCTGTTCGATGAAGGCAGCACGACCGCGCAATTGCCAGATTTGGCCAATCGTGTTGGTGTTGTTAAAGCAGCCGTTAATAATTTAGTTAAGGTATGAAATGTATGACGCAGCAATTTTCCTATGGTTGTAGGTTGGCCATGATACAATCAACGAAAGTTCGGACACATTGTTTAAGCGGGATATGCCACCAGCCCTCTTTCGGGTCGAAGAAGCTTCACAATTTCTCCAGGATGCTGTACAGTTACTAGGCCAGGACCCCACATCTCAGCTGGGTCGAAAGCGTTTGATTGAAGGCTCTAGAGGTTCGTTTTCTAAGATATGATCGTCTTTTAGGCATTCTCCAGGGCACGCTGGCTGTACTTGTTGCTTTCGACCTCTCGGAAGTGAGGAAGATTGTTGAATACTGCAAGTCCGTTTTAGCTATGCTCGGACAGGTGGAGCACATCCGATCCTTTTCCGAATTGGCTGAATTTGTTAAGGTTTTATTTTAACTTTTAAAATAATTGTTACAGAATTTAACCCCATGCATGGCAAGAATGATCAAAGAAGTAGACGAACGTCAGCAAGAACTTGTAATTCAGTCCCACGCAGAGCTTCTCGAGCGTGGTATTGCACAAGTCAAGCGAATAACACCAATTCTAATCTCCTCGATCAAGCTCTTTCTGAACACAACTCAACAAGGTGATCTTACTGAGGATTGCGAGATTTTATTTGTGCATCACCTTTTACTTAATGACATAATTTAGAAAACTTGAAGCCAATCAAGTATACTAATCCGTTTCTAAGACCTAGTTTTTAGGAAATGACTACTTACTCATTTGACCACTTCATTTTAGGCTTACCTGCTGCACACGAGGCCCAATTAAACCGGGATTACTTTTTACGCCAAATGTCTGATGAAATACAGGAAATAATTCGTGGCCTCCAGTTAACAAGCGCGGATGACATCGACTGGCAGTGTGGCGAACATGCAGGACTGCGATCTGCCAAAAATCTTATTGGACGACTGGCGAAGTATGCGACCGCATGGTTAGCAGATCCAATGGTAATCAAAGCTGTTACTTTTTTTACTTTTGATATGCCCTTTCGTTTTATTGAATCTGTTCTGAACAAGAAGGGTAAAATTTTTAAAGATTGAATGGATATATGCCAGCACACATTATAGCGCCCGAAGTGGCGATGTCTTTATTGTTAATGGGTATTTCATGATCATACTGGTCAAATTTGTTTCATAAAAGTTGCCTGCCCGTCACTTTTCTACATCACAGCTGTTCAATATTATCACCCCATCGAGTGGCGTGTGGGTGAGTGAACTGAACAGTGATCGTAATAATTTAACTTCGTCGCACTGAAAGCTAAAACGTGGGTTTACGTCTTGGTCACATAGCGCTTACCGTGTAATGGTCCAGGTTATTTTGAGATAAAACATAAGAACGATTAGAAATTACGCTCAACAGCCGTCTTATAGCACCATATTAAAAAAATCCAAACCACTATTGAGCCTAATAAGACTGTTTGCACATCCATTTTTCAGCTACACTCAGCCGGTTTGATAACCGTTCTTTTTAGAGATTCGCGCTTATTTTGGGATGAGTGTTTAATATTTTTTAAATTTTAGATAGCTCTTTCTTCCAGAAGCTTGATAATTTAAATCTTTTTCTTGAACTTCTGGTTCACTCAACTGAAATTATTTAAAAATAAGACATTGGTCAGTATTAAAAATATTTTGAGGTTAGCAGTTACTTAATTGCGAAATTGGGTCATGGCTTGCCTTTGACATATTTGTTATTCTGAAGCTGCCCTTCACAGACGAGATGTATTAATACATGTCATTTATAGTAAGTAGCATATCATGAAATTATGTGGCGTGTTTTCGATTAATAAGGATCACTTAGACAGGGTTTTGCTTTTGATTATCGTGCAACATAAGTCTAAAATATATCAGTCAGGATGCTGGTATATAAAGGCGCTTCCTTCCGACCGCTTGCAAAAGCAACACTATTTAAACGTTGACTACTTAATTAGCACGTATTTTTTAAATTGATTTTCCACGCCCTGCTGCATCCGAATATTTCGCACAAAAAGCACAAGTACCTTTTTACGCTCGTTTGGCATTATATTCCATCTTCAGATGTTTGAATCAGAGAAGGGGTAGCCTTAAATTTTAAAAGTTTGCAGTTGAGATCGTAGAAGAACGTAAAATGTCCACTCAAAAAGCATTGTATCTCTTCGTTTATAAGTACTCCTGATGAAGTATGCAACACGATCCATATTGACTGCAAAATTTCATGAGCCCGTTATTGCATCTTCGTAGGAGCGTACACGAATGCACAAATATCCGTATATGAAAACTATAAAGCCGGCATTTTTGTTACTTTAAATGCAACCGTAACGGCGAATCGGGTTTAAAGTAATTCGGGAATTCAAAACTTTTCTTCAAACCAACATAAATTCTTCAATGGAGTATAACATTTTCAAAAGGGCTAATTTCCCCTAAAATGCATGCAAGAAAAGATATGTTTGTGCATGCTGTTAAATCATCAACTTTTACCTTTACGTTTTGAAAAAACATGTTCCCTATCGTACTTTGAAAAAAATATGTCACGCTCTTAAATGGTAGCAACTTAACCTCCCGTCCCTGGCTTCCGCTCAGTTTTCATTGCTCCAAAGTTAAACTTTTCCTTGTTCAGTTATTTTTAATTTCCTGTAAAATGATTTCGGTCGAATTGGTTCGAAATCTTCTCATTGTTAAACGGGTACTCAATTAGGCTTTAGAAATGATGCGACCCCAGACCTCTAGTTTTCATAGTCTGTTGTTGTGTATTCTTCTCATAGCATTCTTCATCATTTTCCCCCTGGAAAGTGTGATTAGTTTCTTCTCGTTCATTGCCAAACGATAAGTAGATTGGGGGCATAAGGGTTCGCTCTGTCGTGGTAGATGGATTTATGTTTATGTAAACTCATTTTAATATGCGTTTGGTCTCTTTGTATAAATGGTCCCTGCGCATGTACATAGCCGAAAAATTGCGAAGCAAAACTTGAGAAGCTAAGATTTGTATATATATTTGCAAGGAAACGCTTTTCTGCTGACTGGCTGTCCCATCTAGTGCTAGTTTTACATGAAATTGTGTCACGTAGCAATGGGCTAGCACAAAATATTATTAATTTTTGGCGTCGTTGATTTGCATTTTAATTTCATGTTCT